GGCGGGGGAGGAGCCGGCGCGGGGCCGCCCCACCCGCGGGAGGGGCCTGGCGGTCGCGGCCCCAAGACACTCGCCGGCTCCGGCAGTGCGGGAACCGTCAGCGGCCAGCGGCCGCCCCCGCACCTGGAAGCCGACTCCCGGCTCTCCTGCCCGGGAAGCCTCCGTGCTCCACCAGCTCTGCGGGGTGCCCGGGGGAAACTGAGGTCGGGAGCGAACTTCGCCCAGAGAGCTGATAGCGACTTGGAAGGCAGAGCCACCCGGCTGGCCACCCCTCGCCACGTCCTCATGCGGGATGGGAGCTGGGCGGGTGGACAGTACCAGCGGAGCCCCACGAATCTGCGCGTCCCCTCTACCTGGAAACATGGGGAATCACAGTGGTAGCGGGGAGGCTGGAGGCAGCCGGCTGCCTTTCTAGAAGCTTCTCGAAGCTTGGCTGTCATTCCTTGCAGCCCTAGTGCCTGCTGTGTGCCCACGGCTGTGCCCCGTGCCTGTGGCTCTGTGTCGCTGCTTTACCTGCCGTTGTTTCCACTCCCTGCCCCTACTCAGTGCAGGGCGGGAGGGCTGCACAGACTTCCCAATCCCATCTTTCAGCCCGGAAGTGGGATGAGACATGCTAAGAAGGTCCCAATTTATCTTGCCTAATGCAAGAGAGTGGGAAAATAGCACACACACAACCACACACACCCACACCCACACACCCACACCCAAAGCCTTGGTGCTGCTGTGAGGAAGGTGGGTGAGCCAGTGTCCCACTCTAGACCTGTGTAGGGGACATCTGGACCATTTCCAAGAGAAAGTTTGTGAGAACAGCTGTACTGCGGGGAGAGAACAGAACTTCTCAAACTTCTGAAGGAGGCAGGACCTGTCTGAGCCCAGAGCCACCGGGAGGAGCCACAGCCTTCCTTTCAGCTAGACAAGTCCGCTCCAGCCAGCTCTGCCTCCATCCAGGGAGCCTCTTATTCCTCCCCTACCCAGAAGTCAGTCCAGCAGCTTTCTGCGTGCCACTTAGGATTAGATTCTCAGATGCAAGTGACAGAAAACTCCGTCCCAGTTAGCAATGGTGTAAGCAAAGGTTTCTACGTAAAGGCTGCCCCACGCTGGACCGAGTGTGTCCCGGTTGTCAGGATTCCTGGGTTGCCTCCTTTCCATCATTCTCTGGTCCAAGATATCTACTTCATGATGAAACATGGCTGCTCCAGCTCCAGTCTTAAAGTCTTGATTCCAGCCAGCAGGAAAGAAGAAACCGTGTCTACCCGTAAAGACATATCCTGAAAATGGCAGTCACCAGCTAGGATTTAATCACGTGGTCATTTCCAGTTGCAAAGGAGGCTGGGAAAAGTACCCTGTATTCCAGGCAGTCACCAGCACAGTTAGATACTGGGCATCTTCTTACTCAGTCCCCTGTTGCTAATAACTCCATACCACAGACAGCTTCAAGAAAAGTTTCATAGTGGCTAATTATTCACACCAACAATTGAGGGGCTGCATTTGGTGACAGCTTTATTGTAGAGTCTAAGTTTTGTTTATTCAATAAATATTTATTGAATATGTGAGCAAGATCCAGGGGCTCAGTGTCGTGAGGCCCTCCCTGCCTGCAGAGAGATTATGTTTTAGGGCAGGAGGGAGGCATTAAAGGTGTAACTGCATCATCAAGTGGAGAGTCCAAATGGGATGCATCCTGTTGTCATGAGAAGATACTCTTAAAGACCCACCCTCAAGTGACCCCTTTCCCTGTGCCAGGGGCTTTCGCTGGATGGAAGGAATTAGTACTTTTGTGTCTGGCCAGTGTAGCGCGGGGCCCCTGGGAGCAACTGTCAGCCACACACAGAGAGCATCCGAAGGACAAATACCCCAGGTCTGTCCCACTGGATGGGACTGTGCAGGCTCCCAGAGGTGCCCAGATCCCCGTGGCAGTCACCTGCTCGGTAAGGCGGGTGGCATTGCCTGTCCTATCCTTACCCATCTCACTTTCCAATGGCAGGAGATGCTGCTTTCTGTAGTCACTTCCCGAATAAAAATAAGCCAGTCACTCATCCTTATGCCCTCATTCCAGGTCTGCTCTGAGGTCCTGCCACCCTACCCTTCCCCTACAGACAGCGGGCTCAGCCCTGGGGTACCCAGGGGTGGAAAGGCTGTTTGTCCTGTGACATCTTGGGGTAGCAGACACTGCCTGTCATCGGCACCTTAGCCGTTGCCTCCTGTAAGGCCCCCGGCTTCAGGAGGGACAGGGCGCTGCATGTCACACTGCACAGCTCTGTCTCCTGTGAGTGTTCTTCCTGGCTGTGTCTCGGGATGGGGGATGTGACCAGGGGCCTCCATCGCTGTGCCCTATGGGCTTGAAAGTTGGGACAGTCATGCGGGAGGACTTGGATCCCCAACCCAGGAGCAAAGTGAGCTTCGGAGTAGGTCTGAGGTTGGCTTCCTGTTTTAGCAGGTGACTGCTCCCTGCTACTCCTCCCCCGGCTCCCCAGGGTTGGCTTTCTCAGCCACCGTCTGACCTTGTCCTGCGGCCCCGCCCCGCCCCCACCTGCCCACACAAAGGAGCAAGTCCTCCAGACTCAGCAGCACCAGGAGCTGGCTTAGTGCTCGCTCCCACCCCTCTGCCCTCCGTGTGGACCCCTCTGTCTGAAGCAACCTTCCCCACCTCACCCTCCTCAGACTGTGAGCTCACGGTTGTCCCTGGATGTCCTGTAGCAGCACCTGCCTGGGCACATGACAGGTGCTCCATAAATATTTGTGGCAGCTGAAATGTATCAAGCCGAGTGTCCTGCAAGTGCCTGGCACACTGTGGGTGTGCTCAAAACTTGCCAGAGAAGGATGGGCTGGGGACAGGGACAGTGCATAGGGGGACTGCATGCCCCTGTCTGCACTCTGGACCCTTAGAGCAGAGGAAAAGAAGGGCACCTGGAAACAGAGATTCGAATGGAGTGCTGTTTGCTAACCTGTATTTAATGCTAACCCCAGCAACGAAAACAATAACTACTTCTTAGTGAGCCTTTACACTGACCAAGGTGTGCTGGATGCTTGGGCAGACCTGGTCTCATCCTCTGTTATAGGCCAGTGTTTTTATACCCATTTTATGGATGAGGAGACTGAGGTCTGTGGATGAAAAAGACTTGTTCATAGCCTGGCACCATCCAGGTCTGCCAGCCCCCAGCTCTGGTATAGGAAGGTGCTCCGCTGATGGGCAGATACTCTGTGACAGCCCAGCGGCTCCCAGCTCCCATTCTGCCAGGCTTCCAGAAACTCCTTCATTTACAGCCCCCACTGGCAGTCATGCTCTTACCCTCCTGCCCAGTGGTTCCTTATGGCCCTAGGGTGACCTGTAAAGGATGGGACGGACCCTCACCAAGCCCTGGGCCTGTGCCAGGCACTGTGCCAGGAGCGGGCATGCATTTTCTTCACTGCTCACCAGTGCACCCACCCCGTGACAGCCAGTGGTGTGTGGACTGCAGCCCACAGCCCCAGAATCCACCTTGTGCCAGGAGATCCTGGTTGCTGCAGCTCCCGGGACAGAATGTGGCACAGAGGAGGCTCCTGCAGGCCGTGGCTCTCCTCCTCCGCCTCCTGTGTCTCTCTTCAGAGCAGAATGGCCTCTTCCCTCTGCCCTCGGCCAGAGCCCCCAGGAGCTGGGTTGTGAATCAGGATCATTTTTTGCTGAGGTGCATGAACCAGGGTGTCGACACAAAGCAGGGACGTGAGGAGTCCCAGGGAGCCTGAGACAGCCCCGGACAGCCTGGTGCAGCCCCTCCAGATGCCCACCACGGATCCACAAGCCGCACTGATCACCTGGAAGCAGGGTTTGCCAATAGCTACCACCCCTGCCAGGAACCTGGAACGAATGACCCCCCCCCCCATAAGTGGCAGGTTTAACGCTGCTGTCAGCCACGGAGCCCTCGGCCCTCCTTGCTGTCAGAGCACCCCTCTGCCGGGTCCCAGCAAAGCAGCAGGTGCGGCTGCTGGTGCCCAGGGGCCCTGGTACAGTTCCCCTTCCTGCCCTGGGGGTCGCTGCCAGGTCTGGGGTGGGAGGCTTCCAGGCCCAGAGGCCTCCCTGCTGTGCAACACTCTGCCACTCTCGCTGCCCCGCTGCCCTGAGCCAGCCGAGTTCACCAGGTGTTGGGTCCCGTCCAGCTCCAGGCCGTCAGCCGGGAGGATTTACTGCCTCCGAGCTCCGGTGCTTATTGCTCTCTTGTGTGGATGCAGCGCACTGCATTTCCAGGGCATCTTAACATCACTCTCCATGGGCTCCTCTGCGGACAGAAGTCAGTGGGCTTCACCCACTTTACAAGGAGGGACGCTGAGCCCCATAGGCGCTGGGATTTGCTGGGGGTCACTAAGGATGGTGCTGGCAGTGTTTGTGCAACTGCGGGCCGAGGAAGAGGAAAAAGTGGAGTAGGAATGGGCAGCGCCCCCTTCTCCACAGAGTGTGGCTCAGCAGGGCTCCGTCCTCCACGGGGGGACGCATGTCAGGAGTGGGGAGAGTGAGAGCAAGGCCAGGGCGAGACGGGAGGCCTCCACGGGGAGCAGGGGTGCTTAGAGCTCTGCACAGCACAACTGGCTGGATGCTCCCAGAATCTGGGCACACACCCTGTCTCAGTTTCCTGGGGCAGCCATAACAAAGTCCTGCAAACGGGGCGGCTTCACTGCAGACCTTTAATACTTCGAAGTTCAGGAGCTTGGAGTCTGAGATCCAGCCACTGGCAGATTGGGTCCTTCTAAGAACTATGAAGAGGCATCCGTGGCAGCCCCTCTCCAGGCAGCCTCCGCATCCCTTGACCTGTGCGTGGGTCCTCCCGCTGCCTCGCATTGGCTTTCCATGGTGCGTGTCTTTCTGGGCCCAGATTCCCCTTTGTGTCAGATGCCTCTCATCTAGGATGGGTGCTCGCTGTAAGAGCCAAGTGTAGCTCTGACATCTCAGTAGGGAAGGACCCTATTTCCAAACCAGGTCATATGCTGAGGTATTGGGAGCTAGAACTTAAGGCTTTTTTGGAGGAACACAATGCCACCCATTAAACATCCAGGCCACATTTCCCAGCCTCCTTGGATCTGGAGGGACTGTGGCCCATAACACCTCCACAAGGGCTCCCCCTTCCATCTGCTGTGTTGGCCACATGACCAGCAGAGGGCGCCACGGCCCCAGAGGACGCTGAAACCTGAGTCCCTGAGCGACTGCGTGGAGCAGCGTGGAGCAGCGCTCCCTGCAGGCCCACACTGGGTTGCAGTGCTAAGCCACCAAGATGTGGGAGCTGTTTGTTACTGCATTTCGCCTGCCCTGATCAACACAGCTGGCATGTGTCCCCAAGTCTCTACCTGGAGCAAAGCTAGTTAGTCCCACCAGAGGGCTTCTGAAGGGCCCCCCTGTACCTGCCACGAGAGGAATGGGGCTTCTGGCCTCGGAACTACTTCCTCCTCCCCTGCTGCCTTCACCTGCCTGTGGAGGCCCTGGGCCTGTGTGACTGTGGTTCCTGGTTTGGGAAAAGACTTCGTTGTTCTTACACCACCTGTCATGGGAGGGGGTTACCACATTGTCCCTTCTGAGATTCTAAGATTCTACAGGTGAAGAGAGAAATGCGCCAAATTTCACACACTTGGCAATCAAATGGAAAAAGGTGTCCCACGAGGGCCTCTGCTGTAGCCTTTCTCAACTCTGTCTGAAAAACCCACAGTGAGCAAAAGGAGAAATGAAGCCCACGTCAGCCTGAGCCTGCCGTGAGCGGTCTCCTCACGCTCAGTGCTGACCAGCCCCTGGCAAGCGGCCTTCTGCCCAGAGACTGTTGCTTCTCTCTCTGAAGAAACAGCTGCTCCCCTCCTAGCCGCGGCATTGCTCAGGCCCGCGGGGCCCCACATCTCTGAAAAGGACAGCCTTGTTACTGGGTGGGCTCTGTCAGGCTTCCCCACGTCAAAGAAGAAGGGACTGTCAGGGCAGGCAGGACCCGGCCATAGGCTGGCTCATCTTCCTGGGACTTGCTGTCACCAGCCACCCTCAGGCTGTACAAAACCGCCCAACCTGGCTCTGCATAGAAGGTATTTGCTGACCTACCTGCTCCCTTCTCCTCATTAAAAACAAACACCAAACAGGAAGTCTGCACGTTTCCGTGCCAACTGCCTCACAACCGACATCACTGAGCCTTGGTCCTCTGAGGGTGGGCATGGTGGCTGACCACATCGGGAAGTCACTGTGGTCATCTAGGACTGACCCTGCAGATGGCTCCTACAGGATCACAGACCATAAGCTTCTGTTCTTGTCCTTGGTCATTTCGCTTAGCCCTGTCTGACCTGTGACGGGGCAAAGCATCTGAGCTGGAGGCTGCCTGGGGCCGGGGGAGGCTTGGAGTCTCCCTCTGTTGTTCCCATCAGCCCTGTAGACTGGGCTTTGAGGGAGCCTGTGGCTCTGCCTGCCAGGGACACTGCCACTGTGCCTCACTCCTTCTCCCCTCAAGGCTAGCTTGAGTCACCGCCTTCTTTCCCTGTCTTGCAAGTCCTCCACCTCATGTACTAAATGATGCTCTAGTTTCTGGCTCATTTGTCAAATGAGATGACAAACAAAGCACATGAGCCTACAAAGCACCTAATGGATCAGATGCCCCGACCCCTGCCATCCCAGCACCCTCGGGGCACAGCGTGGGGGAGGGCCCCAGGGGAGTGGCTCGCAGTTTATTCCAAGCATGGCAGTTTTGTGACATTTGAATCTGAGTAACAACAGAAAGTGATGACCAGCACTGCAGGAGGGGCAGGAGGTCTCTCACATCCTGGAAGAGGAGACTGTAGGGGTGGGTGCAGGGGCTGGGGTGGGGCTTTGGTGGTACAGCTGTGTCCAGGGTCTTGGCTGTGGTCGACACCAACGTAGGTGACCCAGAGCTGGTGGATGCGAGTCTGGGATAAGAAATGAGTCCCGGCCCCATAGTAATTTGCAGGTCAAAGACCTGAAGCTCAAGTCCCTGAAGAGCTACCTCTTCTGCCCATCAAGGAGCTTGGTGGACTGTTTTCGGAGGATGCCCCTCAAGGTCAAGGTTCTGGACATCATGCTTGTACAAAGGCAGACAGCGGTTGGCCAGCAGAGCGGGTTCGAGGTGACACCACCAGGCAGGTACCCACTTTCACCATAGAACATCAGCCTGCCACATCCTCCACCATTCTGGTGAGGTGGACTATTGGAGCCCAAGATTGGCAAGTTCCG